CCACATATCACAAGATTTATCGTATTTTTCAGGACCTAAAACTTCAGGAGCTGATAAATTAATATAAAAAGAAACAGAATGATGTACCAACATAGTAAGGAGTGAAGCAAGGTGTCTGCAAGGATTTTCCCGCAGTAACTTCTTTAGCAAAGCCAAAATCCGTCAATTTTAATACAGCATCATTACTGCTTATTGTAAATAAAAGATTTTCCGGCTATTGAAGCTAGTAAGGAAGTAAGGAGTATACCTTTAAATCCCTATGTGCGATGTTCATTCGATGCAGATGAGCAATAGCAGAAGATATCTGCCAAATAATTTTAGCGGCTTCTGTAATTAATCATATAATTCTGAAAATACCCCTTTCAGTAAACGCTTCATTCGCTCTTTGCTGTATGCGACTGAAGAGCTCGCCGCCATCCATCGATTCCATCACAATTAGCAGGTGATTCTTTTTAGTGTTCAAATTATTATTTTCATAAACGTCAACAAGTTTCACAATATGAGGACAAGAAGAGGCTCTCCAGTGTAAATCAACTTCTCTTCGTGCTTTGTGATTATCACCCAGGACCTATAAATATAGTTGCCAGGATTGTATTTACTTTAAGGGCAAAATGCTCGCCAGTTTCTTTTTTAATACATTGTATTACTTTTCCATTTATTCCTATGCCGAGTGTTTTGCTTGTGAGCTCGTAATCCTGTGTTATAGCCGTAGTTTTGGGGACACAGTGCCTAATCTCGAGAGACATAATATAGGCGGCTCAGACTGCGCACAATAATAAAAAAAACGTTACTTAATATAACCTTATTTTTATGTAACTATTCTTCAAATAATTACAAAAATATAAAACTGTTTTTTATTTTTTTTATTTTTTATTTTTTATAATAGCAATTTATACAAAATATTGTTTGGCTAATTTAAGTTCGACTTTACTTTTCGGGCGCCTTCCCCTTGGTCATCTGGTTTCTTTTGGGTTCTTCTGTCCTCGCTCCTAAGCGTCTTTTATTTCTCGCTAAGTGGGATTTTCGTTTTCTGATAAATTAGTAGAGCTAAATTATGTCCACACCTGCCCAAAGACGTCTTTTACGCGATCTCAAACGCTTAAAAAATGATCCACCTACAGGCATTTGCGGTGCTCCCATTGATGATAATGTTATGGTGTGGAACGCTGTAATCTTCGGCCCAGAGGATACTGCATACGAGGACGGAACTTTCAAGCTTCGACTTGAGTTTACTGAGGAATACCCAAATAAACCCCCTCGCGTTGTATTTACTTCGAAAATATTTCACCCTAATGTTTATACTGACGGAAGCATATGTTTGGATATTCTATCTAGCGCTTGGAGTCCCACCTACGATGTACTTGCCATCTTAACTTCAATACAA